CATAGATAATGCATCGAAATTCTTTTCAAATGATGAAATTTTACAGCACGTCACTAATGTTAGTTTCATAGATCAACTTTTTTGTCTGCATCTGTCTATAATATAAGAACTCTTGTTTATATTACACTAGAACTGAGGGTCAACACAACCTCTTGCATAGTTCTTATTGTATTTCGGTCATACATACCGTTGCTTCTAGGGGACCCCCTTGCATTGACTCAATGATTTAAATGAATCATGTCATAGCTTTTTCGACAAAAAAATTTACGATGACAGTCGACTACCTAGTGCAGTCCCTTTTTTTTTTTTTCATTCAGAACTTGAGACCCGGTGATCACAGTTTTACTTGAGGATGACATTATACTAAAAAAAAAAAGATCAATTATAGTATGTCTCATTACTTAACTCTTTAGCATATATTTCTTCTAAACAATAAATATTGACGTCAGCCCCATGCTTTTCTTCTCAATTTCATCTATATTATTTAAAAAAAGAAGGTTAAAGTACCATGGTAGACGAAGTTTTAAGGCCACCTTTGGCCCTCTCATTCCACTTCTATTTATTCTATGATCGAATTTTTATCCTAAGCATAAATATTTAAGTGTTTTATAAGTCAGTATGATTAACCCTCTAAGCTTTCACTTTATGTAAACAATAATGCTGGCTTAGTGGCTTGGACGCAAAAAACTTGAATTCAATTATATTATGAATTAAGTCAGCTCATGTCAAAGTTCATAACTATTAATTGTTCTTCAAATTTCATCGAGTTTACAAAAAAAAAATTATTAATACAAACTACATCTTAAAATTCATCCGTATATGTAAACATTTACATGTTAGATATGTAAATAATAAGGAATTGACTGGTATGTATGTAAATCCTCCTTTTAATTCCTTATAATTTTGTACATTCTGGGGCCATAATTTTATACTAGTTTGATATTTTATGATAATGTTTTATTAAAAATGTATATTTAGAAAAAGTAATTACTTTTCTTACATTTTTAATAAAACATTATTATAAAATGTCAAACTAGTATAAAATTATGGCCCCAGAATGTACAAAATTATAAGGAATTAAAAGGAGGATTTACATACATACCAGCCAATTCCTTGTATTTACATATATAACACCTAAACTTCAATTTTACATATATGTTATCTTACATATGCATGAAAATGTGTATTTCACTTTTTAAAATTTAAAAAATTGATATTTTCTATGCTATATGAAAGATTTAAGTGATATGAATATAAAAATGAACGCTTAGATGTTAGATGCTTAAATACAAAGGAATTGATGGTAGGTTTGTAAATGGTCCAAATTATAAATATAACCATCCCGACGCTTGAGCTAAAAGTAGAGGGGTTTTTTATTTATTTATTTATTTATTTATTTTCTGAAAAGGTCCATTTCATGAGTCGTTGTATTGTGCCTTCATATTTGCTTTACAAAAGTGTAAAATGATTCAACATTGGACTTTTGTGAAATAGTTGTTTCGTAATAATTTGCAATGATTTGGTGGGCTCATGAGCTCAAATTGGCTCGCTTGTTTAATAATATGATTAGGTGTTATTAAGATCTATTTAGAACGTTATTAATAGCTTTATGAGTTCTTAAACTATATGAATTATTAATTCTTATGTTGCCGAATTCCTTTAAATGTGGTGGGCAGAAGTTGTAGCAAAGGCTTGATCATTAGACATCACTATTGTCAGAGACTTATGTTGCATGAATTGACGTAGCAGCACGAGGCTGCGGGGCTCGCATTGTCGAGCCGAAGCCATGATAGCCCACCCAATCATTCATAGAACAACTGAACAATAGGCTTACATATATATGACAACTATAATATTTTTTTGTCTCACTTTCTTACACTCTAATCCTTTGGGACGTGATTCACGGACAGATCAAGATTTAACAATGACAAAGTATCGATAATCATAAGCTAATAGTTGTTACATTTGATAATTATTTGAATGAACGAGATTAGAATTTGTAAGATAAAAATGAACTATGTATGTCGAAAGCTTGAAGCAAAAAAAAAAAAAAGATCATATTATCAAGAAAATTACAACGACATAAAGGGCTGTTTGGTTGCCTTCGGGAATAGTTTAATGTAAATGAAATTCAGTCCATTTTATTATTTTGGTGGATCAAAGTAGTATGCAATGTAAATTTTTGATGAATTTAATACTCATCCCATTAGTTTAATTTGCATGTGTTTAAAATTAATTGGACCGATTTCTAAATATACAGAACAACTAACATCATTGTCACATGACAGTTGTCATTGCATTCATTGGTTCTCTGCAGTTCATTATCGTTCGCTAGCAGTCGTTTGACGCCCGTCATCGAATATTACATTAAGTTCATTTTCTTCAAATATAATAATCAAAGTTTTTTCATATATATAATAGATCTCAATCATACTACATTCTTTTTTACCTAGCGTTCTTTTTTCAACAAATTAAATGATACCTAAAAATATTTTGACTTGGGTATAGATGGGCTCTAACAATATAACCAAAGTAAAGAAGTCGGAGTGGGCTACACTTCTACTTCTCATTCTTTCCTCAGTTTTATTCATCCTTAGTTTGTGATGTATTGTGAGATGTCTTGTCTACTATTATATCAAGCTTTATCATTTTCTACTAATCAAGCATACCCCAAATCTCCTTGTCTTGGGTGATTGCACAATGTTGTCCTCTTATTTTGATTTTCTTTTGTTTACAATATAACCAAAGTAAATCCGTTTAATAAAAAACAACATTGTTCATTGATGCTAATAAGGTCATCACTCGAAATCGATGCAAACACAAATGTTGGCCAATGATTAATGCTATTATGACAATCACTTGTTATTGGCATTAATTTATGCTAACAATATTATCATTTATTATTGACAATAAGGTCAATGTTCAATCATACAAATAAGATTATCACGTTGACATTGATCAACATTGGTGCCCTCACCAAAGTTGAATTGTGTTAATTTGCACCATTGTTTAGGGTTATCACTTCTAACAAGTCAGTAGCCCACAATTCAAAAAAATTATTATACTTTTTTGCATAATCAACTAATGCTTCCTTTTTCTCTTGTATAAAGAGAAGTGTCAATTAGGGTACCAATAATATTTAATGATAACACAAAAATCTTAAGTTTCCTCCGACTTCTATTAGAACGTCATTTTTCATAATTCAAATCCATAACATTAAGTTATAGCTTTCCTTAATTGTAGAGGTGTGCATTGTTTATCGTCAATGACTTATAGTGATAAATTTATTTTGCTTTGGGATAAATTTATAATGTTAATTCAAATGCATAACATTGTTTATCGTTAATGACTTATAGTAAAAACCCCATGTCCCTTACGAACTCTCAATTTAGCTTCTATGTATACATGTGAGATCTTCATACAATCTAAAACTATATACACTAAATGATATCACAAATAGTTTAATGCACTATAAATTTAGTTATGAAAGAGTAAAGAAGAAGTTGAAGAAAACGTAAATAATGAAATAATTGAACTTCATAAAATAATTAAAAAATCAATATTACAAATATTCTTTCATAATAATAAAAATATTATAAACCTTAATCATTGTTCTCTAAAAAAACATTATATTGCTTTGAAGCAATTATTCTTCCGAACAATAAAAGCATAAAAGCACTCGATTTAGTGGAGAAACTCGAAATTTCATTTTATTATGCTTAATCGACATCATTCAAAATTTAAAGGTGACAAACAAAAATACAACCTGCATGCATTAGTGGTTAGATGTTTTATCATCAATCACATGAATTTGAGTTCATGGCCTAGCACATATAGATCTTCGCAGAAGCTTAAAAAAAGGGGTAAAAAACAGATGGAGAAATCAATCAAGAGTTGTGGAGAAGTATAAGAATATGTTGCATAAAATTAAAAACAAGATTGTGGGGATTGGCTAAATGTATATCAATAATTATATATCACTCAAAGTAATTTAGCTTGATAAAATCTTTGAAGTTAGTTGATGGCTCAATGATACAAATTACTTCGCTTATGATGACTACAAATAATGAAACAATGACTTGAATGCATCAAAATAATAGTAAAACACTTGACCATTGTAACACCCTTACATAAATTTTTATAAATGCAACCAAGTATTGAATCCAAATATGTCAGGGAGATACACCTAAGGAATAGAGCGCTAAACAATGAGAAAAATAAAGGGAATGGGGGTTCATTAGCACGATAATAAACAATAAATTTGTGTAACATTTATTTATGATAGGGACACCATATTTATAGGAACATGTCATTGTATAATTACATATTGTACCCCTAAAGTAAGTAGGTACGGCGAAGACATTTCAGTCCATACATAAAAATGGCCTGTGGCCCATGGATTTCTTCATGCGACCCTTAGGCCAAGAGGCCGTCTAGCAGGGTGGCCGTCAGAAAGGTCGGTCATCAAGACGGGTGGTCGTGGCCTAGTGCGACGATCAAATCGGGCAACAACTTGCAGAGGGTTCGCATCAACCATTCTTAAACTGGAGGATCTGCTTCTTTCCCAGTCTACTTGGTTTATAAAGCAATAGGCTCATCTGAGTGGTTCCGATCAAATGAATTTTTCAGGAGTGATTTTCTTTTTATCTGTTTGAGGCTCGTCATCATCCCGATATGTGTAGCTGGTCAACTGAGCATGTGGTCCCAAGTCTTCCTGAGTAGGCCCCACAAGGCCACATCACCTTCTTTTCATCGATGAGATGTATTTGTGAATAATACTGACACATTTTTTATGTGCACTAAGTAAGCTCTGGGTACGTATTATGTGGACTTTAACATGACGGGGACAAATATTTTAGACATGTAAACAAGTATTTACATAAATCCTTATTTTGCATTCCTGGTTGCCGGATGCATCAGTCGTGGCCCATATGATTGTGCTGAGCGGCCCAATTTCAGACTATCAACCGGCCCGGCGCAGCGGCATTATGGTAAAAGAGCAAACTAGGGTTTCCCGTCGCCAAATAAAACCCTACTTCTGATTTGTTCGGCGGATTGGCATCCAAAGCAAGCCGCTTTTGATCCTCCGCCGCTGCGTCGGGTTCGGTTTCTTTCTCCTCATTCTCTTATTCTTTCTCTAAGCTTAGTTAGATTGGTGAAGTTTCTCCTTCCGATCGCATGATAACTTGATTTGCTTCTTTTTGGACGTAGAATGGCGAAGTCGAAGAATCACACGGCTCACAACCAATCACACAAGGCTCACAAGAACGGCATAAAGAAGCCTAAGAGACACAGGCAAACCTCCACTAGAGGGGTATGGAGGAATCGCCCTTCCATCTTTTTTTTTCCCCATTTTTCTGTAGTTTCGGCTTATAATTTCGCATAAATGGATTATCTTTTTCAATTATAATTGACTTGGGAAAGCTTTTCCGTAATTCTTTACTGGTTATGTGAGATTTTAACCAGGATGATTTCAATTTCATTTCTACAGATGGATCCGAAGTTCTTAAGGAACCAGAGGTACGCTAGGAAGCACAACAAAAAGAGCGGTAGCTCAGGCTCTGAAGCAGAGGAGTAGTTGAATTAATGTGTAAACCGCACCTGGTCATTTGTATTTCTATTTCAGCAAACTATGTTTTTAAGGTCTTATTTGTGCTACTATAACATGTCTCTTGTTTTTGCTACTATGTCATTTTTAATCTCTTTGTGAAACGTGGAATGCTTTTGAATTCATGAATCAAAGCTAACTTATCTGAATTTGTTATTTTGGTTAGTACTTCCTCATTTGTCACCATTTTTTAGTTTTAATTCTAATTTATCTTTGATGAATCAAATGAAGTTGAAAAAAAAAGAAATCTGAATTGCATAATGTTTCATTTATACAAGCATGCTATAATGCCTTGTCTATATGCCTCATACATCTTTTGGAACACATTTTTATCCAAAATGGAGGGTTTTATGTGTTTTTTTTTCTGCTGTAGTAGTAGGTCTATGTTCATTTTTTAGTAGCTTTGATGTCTAGATTTTCTATGTGATGAGTAAGGCATGTCCTGTTGTTTGGGAAGATAACTGAAG